CCCCCCCCAAGTCACTGCACCACCATTGCACCAACTCCCCACGGGCGATAACGTGACTGTGCTGTGTCGGGTGGCCCGTTTTGTGTTGTGTTGAGCTGTTTTTCGTGCTTTGTTCATGATATTTATAACTACGGCAGCAATGGCTCTGCGTACATTTCTCTCTGTCTTGCTCTTTTTGCCCTCTGCCTCTTCTTTTTCCTTTTCTGTTTCTCTTTTTTCTCTCTTTTCTTCCATTCTATAGCTACTTCGCATAGCGTGCATGGTCGAGCAGAGGGTTGTAGACTAACTAACTGTCGTTGACTTTTATTGACTTGCAGACCCCTCGGGTCCGTTGTCATTAGTATACACTCTAGGTAAGTTAGCCTGTGACCATGTGAATCGACCGCGTCAAGTGTTTGACTAGTACGGACAGAAGAAGGTACTGCCTAGAGAGAACGGAACGGTTTTGAATGCTAAGACAACAACAACGTCCTGTGCCGCTGCCCCCATCTCTGCACTTGCGGAATATCCAGACCAGTGTGAGGCCTGTTTGTTCTTGCTCCTTGTGCACCACGCCAAGTCAATCACCCCTCTCACTTTGTCAGAACGACGAGTGCGGGCGAGTTTCCTCCATTTTGTCTTCCCCTGATCAGAGAAAATGCGAGTACGTTATACGGACAACAGGCAACAACTGTCGGCATTCCATGTGAACACCAATAATTTCAGAGGAACAGTATTTCGCAGGTAATTTCTACCATATGTAGCTAGTGTCTGCACCCATTTCTGGCATCCAACGAAGGGTTCACAGCAACATCGTCCGTACGGTAAACTACCAAGCAAGCAAGTTGAGCTGGTAGACTTCAGCTGTATGATTGGCTTCGGGTTGAAAGTCCTGGATCACGGTACCCCCCCCGCCGTCCGTAGTTTTTATGTTGGGTGCCAAACTAAAGTATACCCAAGACTTGGCAAGATTCGCGCTTTCCGTCCAAGTACCTGCATTTATGTTGTGCAAGTTTGTCGTCTACATCTAGGTGTGTCTGTACCGTTCTTTCATCGCACGGAACTCCTAGACTACATCGATAGCCTACACCGTTATTAGCAACAGAACACTCGACCCGAAAATGTTGTTGAGCGTGGGTTGGTTGCACATGCAGGGGCACGGCTTAGTTGTGGCAGCAGCTTTGTGCAGTTACAGGAGTATTTTCAAGAAAAGAGAGACTCTTCAAGAAAAGGGAGACTAGAGGTAGGTGAACATGACTAGACTATACATGTACACCAGTAGACGACCATCCAGGGATCGAGAGACAAGTAGGCAATAGGGTCACAGTCTACTAATAGTCTAGTGTTTTTTTCCGGTGAACACTGATATGCGGTGGTGCACGATACTCCGAGTATGTGATACCTGGTACGCGTGTGTCACGGAACAACTGTAGACCAGCCTACTGCTGTTTAGGAGGTACATTAGACTGGTCTTATGTCTCGGCTCAGAGTCTATTAGGGACAGCGCACGCATGCGCTACATCACGGTTCATGACGTTGTTATTGGTCCGAATCCAATAAGGAGCAAAACTGCTGGCACTTGCTGCGCAAATGCACTGCTGCAAGTATGAGAACCCCACATCAGCAGACCAACTTGATGCAAATCAAAGAAGTTAACGGCGGTAGCAACAGCAGCACCCATGGCATTTCGACTCACCCCACATTTTGCTGTGCCTTATTCTGCCCCTGAACGGTGTACCAGGTGAGGGCTGCCCTAGCGATGAGTGGATGCTCCCAGGTTCACCCATGGGATCTGGGGAAATACTATACAGGCGTTGGTGGAAGTAGGGTGACGAGCAGCACGTGTGTCGGTTGTACAGAAACGGTCAACAGCGAAACATTAACGGATTTGTTGGTGCAGACACACTTGTCCAAATGCCCGCCCGCTCATAGGCTGCCGATAGCGATGCCCGTTGCCGCGAAACACGTCCGACCGGGAGGGAGCTCAGGGGTAGGAGCCCATCTATGGACGATAGACCCATTTCAGCCAGTCGTTGCCAGATCTAAGCGCAGAAGATGTCACGCGGTTCAGGCTGACCGTTTAGTCTAACCAATTGGTCGGGTGCAGCAGCAGCAGAGCTTCTACAACAACAAGCAGTTCTATGTACACAGTCAACTATGCAAGTAGAGTACTCCTGTAGCCGGCTTCCAATTTCAAATCTTCGCGACTGCGGGTGGCACGCACCGTGTGAGTCGATTGGGTCCATTGCAACGAGAAGGGCCAAAGCTTGGAGAGCCTAAGCTTCTGGCCGCATGGTGGCAGCAATGTCTAGACTACATGAGGAGCACCACAACTCACTTCGAGAGGCAGAGCGGACGGTGCCGGTCAACCGCGCAACGCGCATTATTATTCCGACATCTTGGAACGGCACATGTAGCACCGCTCCCCACGAGTCAAGAGTCAAGAAGCAGATGTCATCAGCTGTCATCATCAGCAGTCAGCGGTCAGCAGAAAGCAAAATGCAGCTTGGTGATCCCTTCCTTGCATTCCGTACATACTAAAACAAGGAGCTGTCTAAGCTTCAGCGCGTCACACGAAGTTCCCCAGAAACCCGTATTTCTGCGGCGCCCGCGCAGGGAACAAGCCTGAAAAAAGCAAGCAGGCTCCGGTATGTTTTCATCATCTGCCACCTCAAACCAACACGACCCTGCCAGGAGGAGAGAAAGCAAGATATATGATGAACATTTTCAACCCCCCGCACAGAGAGTAGACGGGATGCATATGCATATGCACCTGTAGTGCGGTGTGTATTGTGTAAACTTAGCCGCAAAGTTATATAGTCTACGCACGCAAGACGTGACCAAAACGCCGTTTACTGCTGCACGAGGCAACAATCACAAGCAGTCCTCTTGACCGATCCGTTTGCTGCGGCGGAATTTGCTGGAATGCAAATGTCGGCGAATAAAATCTCCCACACTTTGCAGGGTCGTCAGCGCACATACACAAACAATACACATAGTATGTGCAACGCATACGTGTGTGTACCCACATACGTGCGTACGTGTCCCACGTGCGCAGCAACCTGTCCTACACACCGGTACCGCAGCCATACCAGAAACATCCTACAGTAAGTCGCCGTGAAAGTATGGCATGCAGTAGTCTGGCACATGAAGCCCTCTCCGACACCGCTACTTACCCGGGCATCTATTTTTCACGCTCGCTCTCTCCTGCTCTATGAACGACAAAGTACAATACTCCGCTGAGTCAAACGTGGTAGTTTTGTTCCCGTTTCATGTATTGGAGAATCATTTTTTTTTTTCATGGCACGTTTTTTGCAGCATCTGGCAGCCATCGCCCCACACCCCACTCCCCACGTACCCACCGCTGCTGAACGTGCACCACAGAGATACCGGACTGCTGGAGACTTTGGAAAAGCCGGGCAAGGAGCCTTCGACGAGCTGGTGAGTTGGAGTCAATGTGTTTCCTGCCGAACCCACCTGCGGGTTCCAGAGTTCCGTGTAGGCTCTCCATGGATGGTGATGATGACATCATGTCAGATGGTGCCGTTGTGTGTGTGCTTTCGTCCTGTTCATTGTGGCAACGTTGTGCACACGAAGAAATTCATATCCGCGCGAGTTGGCGGCGCGCGCAGTATCTTTCTCCATGGACAAGGAGCAAAGGAAGACATGGAAGGTGTTTGCAGTAGGTGTGGTATGTGCAATACAGAAGTGCAGCGGAGATCGCCAGCTTTCGCGGTCATGGTTGGTGGCGGCGGCACGTTCGGGGCGCCGTTACATGCCCGAACTCTTCGGTCTAATTTGATTGCACAGATTACCTGCTTCGTTCGGTAAAAGTGATGGGTCTGATTTATTCTTCGCCGACTCTCGCATGATGATGCAACTTACGTGCAGCTCTCCTTCCCCAGCGACTTCAGAGCACACGCCGTTCCTAACATACACCGATTAGCACTCCGTGCTGCACTTACACCCTTCCCCCCCGGCTGTTGGAACGTTTCCCTCTCCTGGAACAAACACGCACCAAACAGCAGGACACCTACCCTCATGAGCCTCAGCACGAGTTCGGGTACTCGAGGCCAGCCTTCGGCAAATCGCGCCTCGTGTGAGAATAGCACCATCCCCGACATCACCGTGCGTTCGCCTGCCGATGGATTGCCTCATCGCCTGACCATCCCACACGAGCCTCCCAAGGTCCCACGCCGGACCCCCAGTAAGGGGAATAAACGAGAGACCTTAGCGGACATCGCAAAGAGGATTCCGGTGGAGCTCATGCGGCACTACTTCAACTACCCGCTTCGGGCAGCTGCGGAGGTACGTGTGTGTTCGTAGCTTGTGCATCCGCGTACGTTGCTGCCGGGTGCTCACGTTGCTGAGAACGAGGCCATGTGTCTCGTGTGGTGTGCGGTGGTGGTAGGGGGAGGGAGTATTTTATTCCCGATGGTGGTGACATGTCACATGATGATCATCTTTGTTTTCCAGACTCTCCCATCCCCCGCCGGCAAGAATACTCTAATCAATCAACAACCTGTTGGTGCGGACAGCAGTGGGTGCACCTGCACGCGAAGGAGGGCACACCGCGAACATAGCAGTTTATCAGAGGCACCGACTCACGCACACCCCTTCTCTGGCCTAACGCCCCGACGTTGGTGACGATCTACAACGATTCCGGTACATCCGTTAACTGATATTCATGGTCCATGTACATGCCGCAGCTAAGGGCCACCTCAATCTGCCGAAAAGCGCGAACAAGTATTTTGAGTGCAACAACCTGTGCGTTTTTTTTTTTCCAATAGTCTATTTATGTTGCTGTGGTCGAAATAGCTTGTATACAAGGCAACGCCAAACCCACCGCCGACAGAAACTTTCCGGTGGCGAAGAATGGGATGCTTGTTTCAATGCCGTGTTTTTCGCCTTCATCATTTACGACATTTCTACTGCTGTACGAGTCCCTTGCGTTGTCGTCTAACTCCGTAGGCTGCGATGACTTTATTGTCCACCAATGATGTACGTACATATGCAAGGAAGTAATCATGCGTCGGTCGACCGCGTTGTTTCTGCGGCCCGAATGAAGAAGGAAAAATAAATACCGCTTTCGCGGATAGATGAGCTCAGCTGGAAAATGATCATTCCTGCGGGGTGCGAACGCGTAGCGCTGTTCCGTCACGAGACCGACAGAGCATATGCCAATTCGGTTATATTCTCAGCTACATGTACTGCTGTATCCTCCGCACACACCAGGCCATGGACATCTCAGTGACGACTTTGAAGCGATTGTGTCGGAGGCATGGCGTCAAGCGATGGCCTCACCGCCAGATCTGCGGCATCAACCGCACGCTCAATGACCTGGAGACGCAACACGACACCGCCAAGGGAGACGAGGTCGACTCTGTCGCTGAGCAGCTTCGGCAGCTGCACAGGCGCCGAGATGTTATCATTGAGGTACGTTTTACTGCGTTGTCGACCTGTTCAACGCCTGTTGGATTGCTTGCATGGCATGTGATTCGATAAAGCGGTCTTCAAGCCTTCGTGTGGGCTCTTTCTTGGTGCCAAGTTTGCGTCATTTCACTGGCTTCATGCTCGCACCTATTGGCATTTCCTCCGGCGTGACGTACGTTCACAGTTGCATCGTCAGCGCTCGGATCAGCAGTCGTTTTGTATGAAGGCCTATCAAGTTTCAGCATGGATTGAACCGCCCGGTTCGTGTTTTGCAGCGCCCGTGATGTGGGCACAACGTATGGCCACGTCCTGTTTTTTCAGTCGGCGTGCCGAATATTAAGAGACATGTACGAGGTATTTTATCTCCGGGCGGTGTTCATCAGATGCCTTGCTGCCTGCTGCCTACTCCCAATAAATAGATTCAGTTCATGAAATTGAGCTGAAATCCTGTCGATAATATGTGGGCGGGTTATTTCGCACACTCCTTGTTCGGCATTTCACACCCCTGACGTACGATGGTGGTATGCCAGACCCACCCACAGGGTGCCATGTGCGAGTGCGTATCGCTATTACTCGAAGTGCTTCGTAAGTGTTGTCCCGAACGTGTTTTTGTGTGCGTCGATAATCGCATATGTAGATGTAGCACTACAATGTCCTCTTGAACATCACGCACGCATCTCTCAAAACGCGTATCCACGCAGTTCAGCATTTCTGCCAGCAATATGTATATAAGGGTCGTTATTCATGTCATAGTAGAGGTGTTTCCACTTTCTTACTCTTTGGCACGTACGTAATGCGTTGGAATCCTCTTTCCGGCCGGTAAATTGTCTTGCTGCTCTGATTCTTGATCGAGAGCTTTAGCATTGGTGAGACGGCCTTTTGGGGTATAGGACCAACGAGTACCCTTTTGTTGGAATGGACAACAGCTTTTCACAGTGACATCTATTTATACATCGTTGCAACCTCGACAAGGCAATGGTTGACGAACACAGACGCGGAACTACGAACGAACACCGGTTCCTCTGTCTAATGTACCGTTTGCAGACTGCCTCACTACCCCTCTCACCCGTCTTCGCCCACACAGCTGGCGTTCGAGAGCGACGACGAATCAATCAGCAAGCGCGGCAGTTTTATCTCCTCGGACGGGGGGGGCTCCTCGGCATCGTCCTCCTCCTTCCCGTCGCCCCCCTCCTCTCCGTCTCTCTCGCGGTCGACTTCCTTTGTCTCACCGCCGGCCTCGCCCACGCCCACGGACGAGCGCACGCCTGCTGCGGCCGGTGTGACGTGGTTGAACAACGGTGCCCCGGGGACGGGTCTGCCGTCTTTGGCGCCGGTCCTCTCCGTGACCGTCGGAAGCGGCGGCGGCGGCGGAGGCAGCAGCAGCAGCAAGTGTCCCGCCGCAAGAAGCAGAGGTAGCAGCAAGGTCGCCAGAATATTCAGCGACGGCGTCGGCTCAAGCGGCAGCAGTGGCAGCTACGGGAAGACCAGCAGCGGGAGCATGCGTCCTCACCGGCCTAGCGGCACCTGCGGCTCTGGAAGGTCCAAGGGGCCTCGCAAGCCGAGGTCGTCGGCGATGTTCGGCAGCATCACGAGCCTGCGGAAGGTTCCGCCACCGGTCGTGACGGTGGCAACGGGTGCGGTCGTTTCCACTACGCTTAGTCTCGCCGAGAGGACCAGCGCAAGCACCAGCACGAGTACCTCCCCGGCCCGAGCAGACGCGAGTACCGAAACTTCTCCTCGTGCGACCATCCCGGTGCCTTCAAGACCTCAGTCGGCGTCGATTCCAGCGAACGGCAGCAACAACCATGACGGCGGTGGCACGGGCACCGTGTCGCGGCTTTCTCTCATCGGCTCCGGCGCTTCCTGGATCAGCGACAACGACGCCCCATCCCCGAGCACCACCAGCGTCGACAGCCTCGGGCTGGGGCCGCACGGCAGCCAGCAGATGGACGATCTCGCGATCCTCGGAGATCTGCTATTCGGGCCAGACGACGCGGCTATAGCGGCGGCGGCGGCGGCAGCCGGTGTTCGGGCCCAGAGCTCGGCGGCGACTAATCCCCCCCCCTCCTCGACGTCTTCGCCCCCCTCCTCGTCCTACGAGCGCGGGTTTTCCGCCGGGCTGGCATCGGCATCGAACTGGGGCGGCGGGCTTTGCTGGGACGCCAACGGCCTCAGCCACTTGGGCCCGTTGTAGTGAAGGGCTCGGTCCCGCGCGGGGGCGGGTGGGATGTCAGGCCATGATTTTCCGGGGGGAGGTGGGGACTGGGAGATTTTTGCTCGATATGGGCTACGGGGGAGAGGGTTTCGAGTATCGAGAGGATTCTCATGAGAAGATGATGGTCGAAGGCGGCGGAGGTCTCTATAGAGTAATTTTCTCTTTATAGTTGGTAGTTAAACACCAGCCTCTCGTGCCCTAGCCACGTCCTAGGCAGCCTTGGGTCCGTTTGTTCGGTTGTGTTACCCAAGGGAATTGCCGCTTTTTTCTCGCTTGCTGGATGTGCACCCTGGTCGAGGTTTTCCCTGCGTTTGTGTCTCATGTCGGAGAGCTGTGCTGCTGCACTGTAGATGTTGGGACCATTGTGTGCTTCCAAGTGGGACATCAAGAACCCGGATCGAGGGCAGCTTGGACGTCACTTGTCTTGGAAGGCGAGGGGGTTTGGGAAACGGTACCAGTAAGTGGGGCGGAGGCAGCCATAGAGATGAAGACTTTAGTGAGGCGAAAGTTTCTGCACGGAACGTTACAAACGGAACAAATCGGTTTGTTGTACATGACGTACGGGGAGACAAACGCAATTTGTTGAGCGACCGAGCAACCGGCGTTAGGTAAGATTTTTCGGCGATGTCGACAGGGTCTTGACATTTGGAATGAAGAATCGCGACGTTTTTGCCCCTCGCCCTCTTTTCTCTCTCTGAGGTAGTGACTCGCCACGCGTGTATAGCACTCGATGGGAGTTAGCGAGCGAGAGGGTGAGGTGTTATTTGTGCGTTAATACCGCGCGCTCGAACCCTCGGGGTGTATGTACGGTATCGGGAGATCCGAAATGTTTGCCATGTAATCGTCGTATCGGGAGGCTTGATGTACAACGTTTGCGCCCAACGGAACAGGGAGCAGGAAATTTTCAGCTGCCTGGTGGTTACACACGGAGCGCGAATACCCGGAGAAATTTTGTGCGGCTATTCGTCAAGATTGGAGGTGCTCTCGCCTCACCTACCAACGAGTTAGATACTGGCGGAGCGCACAGCCTGTTTGATGCCGCAGTTTTATGCTAACATTTCGTTGTATTTGCTGTCGTGAGGACATATTTTTGTGGAGCTGGGTAGAACATTGGAAGCATGTGCACAGATATTGGTTTGTCGGACAACGAGCGTGCAACGCACGCCACTTGTCGAAATACGTGCCGATGATGAACTTGTTAAGCAAATGTGCGGGAAGACGCTGTTGTTGGCGTTGATGTCGTGTCGTTTGATGTAGAAGCACAAGTGGTTTTCTCCTCGCATGTTTAGCGGGTTACCCTAGATTTCGTTTATCGTCGGTTAGCTTTGGGACGGCCCGAGCGTAGAGAATCCGCGTGTACAGTCGAGTAGCATCATACCCCAAATTCGGTTTACACGCCGCTGTACAAGCACACCATACGTGATGAGCAGTTGCTGCGATAGAGACTCCCAGCGCCGTGGATCCTGCCTACCTCGTGCGACATTCAGTCGAGATCATTTTTTTGCTTTGGTGGATTGTCGCTGTTTGCTGTCACCTCGAGAACTGGGGGAAGCAAATCTAGGGCTTTGCTTCTTTTAACCACAACACCTGGTTTACCGTAGGGGCTTTATTTTCTGGTTTGGGAGGCTAGAAACTCTTGTCAAACATCAAGTATACAGGGTAATTCGTGTGCTGCGTGCGGTATGTGACTCTAATTTTGAAGTATGTTTTTCCTGGAGCGTTAACTTGATTTGTTGTGTCGAAATTTCTCATCTTCTCAGTCCTTTTTCCGGTTCAATCTGTAGAGTATTTTTTTACAGGATATATCTCATTGCCTGCATGGTTTTGTCGTGTCGAAATTTCTTGTTTCTCCGGTTGTTAAATCGGTAGTGAAGTGTTTTTTTTAAATATATACCTCATTGCCTGCACGTTTTTTTGTGTCGAAATTTCTGATTTTCTCAGCTCTTTCTCCGGTTGTTGGAACTGTAGACTGCGTGTAGTGTCTTGTGTTTTTGGTATCATGTTGCCTGCATGGAGTAGTTTTTTCGCGTGTCTGGCTCTGTTGAGAAATAAATACAGATTGCAGAACATGTCATTGGTTCATGCGGGCATAAGGAGCATGCGGGCACAAGGAGATGTGCCCACATAGCATGCCTGAATTTTTAAGCCTGTGCAGCCGGTGGGTCGACATCTGTGAACTTGCGACCGCAGAGAGTCCTCCCGTGTCCTTGCCGTAGTTTTCCAATGCGAGGGCGGCCCTTGGAGCAAGCAGAACGAACGAGGAAGAGCTTGGTTAGCTCGTGTGCTACAGTAGGTATTATGGGGTCCTCGGCGAAAGGCCGGCTCCACCCTTGAATCTGTACGAGATAGATTCCCCTCGTTCGTGTCGTGTCACCAAGATGAGACCGTGATGCCCCCCCTCCCAACCCAGTCATACATCCCTTGAATTACCCACGTTGTTTAAGCATCGCTTCCACTCGGCATCTACAGTATCACACGGGACTGACATTTTGTACTTCCTATGGTGCACGGTGGGGGGTGAAAATCATCCTCTTCATCATTTGGACCTTGGACTCCATCAGAGTTACAGCATACAGTTGGCGCCCGCAGTTAAGAAATATTTTGTTAAGAGTTCGAGGCTCAAGTTTTCACGAATAAGAAAATAGGGTTAAGAAACATAGCTCAATCTGGGTCACACAAAATGAAATGTCTCAATAGGAAACACAGCGGCGACCGCTTCCCTACTACATAAGAAACGAGGGTCTACGGGGGAGTGTGTCGAATAAGAAACAAACCCCACAGCTCTCTCGCTCTTTCCCCCTCTCCCCCGATCCCCCCCTCCCATGGTGCATTTTTATGGAGTTTTTGTTGTACGACGAGGGGGGAGTGTTTTTTTTTTGTGGCGCCCCCTCCGCCCCCGTGCGGGCTCTGCCACCCTCCCTGCTGGCGCTTAAGCTTTGGCACAGCACACCAGACAAGCTGCGAACCACGACATGCTGTCTGCTGTACACGGCTTTGATGATTCTCTCCGCCAGCTCTCGTGAGGGCTTGACCAAGCTGGTCACCCTCAGAGATCAACAAGAACTGTCGACGAGCCAGCTCGGGGACATCAAGAAGCACCTACAAAACAACAAGCCTCTGTCTCACGATTTCTGGAAAGGCATTGAAGAGCTGCGGAGTGTGAGGTCCTCCGATGTCCTTACTTTGGAGGAGCATGTGCAGCATCTCAACGAACATGTGGCGTCCCACCTCAAGAAAAGACCCCGGTGCCAACCCCTCCTGAATCGGCTGCTGGTTCAAGCACACAGCCGAAAGGCATCATCGTCTTCAACAGCGCGATGATGAGAGCGACGGTAAGTGATACTGTATTTCGCGTCCATTCGGAGCACAGAAGAATTACCCTTGCGGAAGAAAGCTCCTCTTATTGACACATTTATGAGTGTTGGAATATTGTCCCCGCTTCGGGAATCGCCACAACAATAGACGATGCCTGCGCTGTGCCTTGTCAGGAGAGGATGACAGCGATAAGGACCCGCTGACCCAGCTCGAAGACGATGACGAATTGTCGCCTGAGGAAGAAACGCTGAAGATGGACATCCCGGACAGGTTTCGACTCCAGGCGTCTCCGCCACCGGCCCTCGATAAGTCGATAGTGAAGCGTGGGGTCCTCGTGAAACTCGGGTTGGGTTGGTTCGGAGGCCCCTCGTCGCGGCAGGAGTACGACTACCGCGTCATCCTGCACTGTGACGAAAGCACGCGTAGCATGAAGATGCCGTTGGAGTCGTGCAGCACGGATGAAGACGCCGCAATTGATGCGTGGGTTCTCCTAGAGGTAGACCCAAAGGAAGGAAGCGGGAGGCGCAAAAGGGTGACAACCCCCAATGTTCGCCTCACGGAGCTTGCAACATAATGACGGGGTAGGTTTCGTTGTCGGCACGTCAGCTTGCGGGCGAGGCATCATGCGGTGTTTATGCATTTGTTTAGTTTCAGCCCTCACTTATGAGGGGGGTACAGGACCTTGTAGCGATAGCGAGACGTTGCCGCTGGATACATTTCGCTTCTAGGGAGTGGCCTTACGTGCAGCAGTCGGTGGTTAGAATCGGGGTTGAGTACAGGGGTCGAGGAAAGCAGTGCAAATCATTTGTATATTTGGAACGTTGTGAAGCATGCAAGCAGAGAAATAAGAAATTGCCGATTTGAGAAATTAAGCAGGATTTGGCTCCACGAAAAAAAAAGAAACTTGAAATAAGAACCTGAACGACATACGCTGAGTTTATAGCCCACAATAAGAATTCGAGGCTGGACCTGAAATAAGCGTTTCTTATCTGCGGGCGCCAACTGTCGTCTAGGCTTTTTCTGTAACTCAGTTTTTCTCAATTCGAACAATTAGCATCGCATGTGCGTTGGTTACCGACTGAAGATGCATGCATACGTGCGTGTCATCATATTGAGCGTCCTTTCCTGCGGTAATGTAAGCATGTGTGGATGCCCCCCATGTTGTCGAAGTTCCGACACTCTGCAATGCCAACAGTGTACAATCAATGGATATACTGGATACGGAAATAATGAGTCTAGTCTGTGTTGCAGTCTCACTGAATAAAAGGGCCTCCCTCGCACGCGCTCGGTATCAAGGTAAGTACCTCTGTCTGTTCCTCGAATCGAACAGCATACCGAAAACAGTAGAATAACGACCGCCGACTGATGACGACACTCCAGCAATAGCTCCCCTGTGCATGGGCGACCAACAACACACCGTCCGCGGTGCTCCTGGCGTTTTTTTTTTCTGCGGCGGATTTCCGAACGGTTCCGATGCAAGCCCCGAGCGGTAACATCAGTGAGAGGAGAGCGACTGAGACCGAATACCGAGTACAGACTAGCCCACACACGCCCAACACGGCATATCTTGTGGCACGACGTGATATCCTCCGAAATTTGGTGCTCTCATAGGTGAGCTCTAGCCAGTGGTGGGGCGAGCCCAGCCAACCCCGGTAGTTTCCTCGTATTGAAGATGTGAAAGCAATGGTGCAATCTTGTCCACAACCG